GGGATGAGCAGGCCGGCAAAGGATGGAAGTTGGGGGTGACCGGGCCTGCAGGGGAGAGCAATTGCAGGGCGACCAGGCCTGAAGGGGAGGGCGATTAGGGGTGACCAATACTGCAGGGGAGGGCAGTTAGGGGCAAACAGGCTGGCAGTGGAGCAATTAGGCATCAATCAGGCTTTCAGGGGAGTGGTTATGGGGCGATCAGGTTGGCAGGCAGAAGTGGTTAGGGGCAATCAGGAAGGCAGTCAGGTGAGCAGTTGGGAGCCAGCAGTCCTGGATTGTGAGAGGGATCCCAGATTGGAGAGGGTGCAGGCTGGGCTGAGGAACACACCTCCCACGCACAAATTTCATGCACTGAGCTTCTAGTTTATGATATGTTGCCTTCTGTGCTGGTTATTTTTGAAATTCACATATATATTTTAAAGATTAATTAGATATATATGTATTTTTAGAACTTGTGAAAATAAAATTTTTTAGTTCTTTAAGAAAAATGATGAAATCATCTGTGCAGTTTTTGTGCTGATGACCAACAACTGTTTCCCAAGTGTGGAAGATTGGACACCCACAGATAGGGTCAAAAACATTGTGAGAAGCAAATAGCATGCTGCTCAAATGCTCTATAGTTTAAATGTGAAAGAAGTGAACATGGACAAGGTTTTGAAGATAGGAGTGAAATTGCTCAAGTCTGAGACCAGCATGTGCTTGTCACAGATGCTTGGTTCTCCAAGTGTTTACTGAATGAGTGAGTGAGTGAGTGAATGAATGGTTGTTCTTTATGTAGAGCATAAAATTAAAAGCGAGTCTTACCATTTTTCCTTTGTAAATTAGCACTGAACTTCAAAAGACTATCCATAAGACTGAAGGTTGTAATTTGGAGTAAATGGAGACTTGTAATTGGACAATACATACTAGTTCATCTTGAACATGGGAGGAATTAAGGAGAAAAAACAATTAGGAAGAACATGGACCACCACTGAAGGCAGGCCACACATTTATCTGGTAGAGAAATATTTCCCTCCCTCAGGTATTTTGTTTGATATGTTATATCTGGAGTTTGTCTTGCATACAAAATTTTTATAAGTTATAAAAACCAAAAGTAAAAATTACAAATCTAGATAAATGGGAGAAATCACTCATCTAATCAACTATTAATGATACACCCAAATCTGTTTATTATTGGTCTTTAACAATAATGCTGTGTCTTCTACTAAGATTTATAGCATAGTTATCCGAATCAAAATTGTTTACATTCTTCTTGTTTTCTGCCAGTTTAATGTAGATTTACTTACTTCTTTATGTGCTCCTGAGTTCATGATTCTTGGCAGTCTTCCAAATTGAGAACAAGTTTCCATTTGGCAAACTAGCCTTGCCATCATCTAGGCTCAGATGAGCCATGGGGCAGGGCTCAATCTATGATGTATTGACACATCTTTCCTGGGCAGGAAAGGGAGAGAGGCAATATAATTTCCTTGGATCGTAGAATGTCATTCATAGAACCAAAGAGGCCTTGACTCTAACACTCTTTAACTCCCAAATCTTTTGATTCTTTGGATGGAAAAAGGAGAAGTAAATGTGAAATAACCTAAAATATTTGCTTCAAATAAGTTTAGTTTCTCCAATATATATTCCACCAGCTGCCATTTCACCATTTAACAACAGAGTGATAAGAGAGTTTTCTTTTGGATTTAGATGGCTGTGTAAACTGGCCACAGGGAAACACCGCTCCCATGTAGATGTTCCTTAGATGGAGCTTCTGCATTCAGGTCTCCAGGAAATCTCAACCAATATAAAGTGCATTGGTTATAAAAGTTCTTTAGCTCTTAAACTGGGACTTCTGGGGCCACTGAGATATGCCTGTTCTGTTCTCAGGAAGCCAAGTTTGGCCAAAGGTACAGGGGAGAAGGTAGGTTGTTTTTGTTTTTTTTTAAATCTCAGATAGTCCTGGCTTCTGATAGTATTTCTGCCACTTCCAAGATCCGTGACCTTGGGCAAACTTTTTAACCTATCCTCAGTTTCCTTATGTGTAAAAGGGGAGCAATAACACCTTCTTCATGGGATTGTGAGATGACTAGGTAGACACAGATAAAAGGCTTTTCTTAAGTGTTCTCACCACGTACCCTCAAAATGGTAAATGTGAGGTAGTAGATGTGTTAAGTTACCATATTGTGGTCTCATTTTGCAGTACATCAAATCACACTGTATCTTAACACAATGTTATATGACAAATAAATCCCAATAAAGCTAAGGAACAAAGGGCCTAAAAATGTTTGGCTCAGAGGTGATAGACAATAAATGTTACTGTCTACAATGTTCAGTACAGCCTACCTTGTGATAAGACTATTTGTGGGGTCAACAATCCTTAGGAAGCGCTGAGGCTTCTTTATCAGGAATTCACTTCATGTACTGTCTATTAACAAGCACTACCAACCAGATACTCCTTATGATCCAAAGATAATGGCATGACCTTCAGGAGTGACAGATTTTACTAATTATAATATAAATATATTATATTATAAATATATTATATTTACAATATTAATTATAAAAATAATATAAGTGCCATACTAAGTATATAAATACCCCAATAATCATAAATATTACCCAATAGATGAGGCAAATCTACTGTTCCCTGTAACACCTGCCACACACACCCCCCCCCCTCCGCCCGCCAACATCACACATCACAGGGAAATTAAAAACTCCAGGGCCATCTTCCAGAATCAGACCAACAAAGTGTCCTTTAGGATTCAGCCTACCCTAAGACCCCTCCCCCATCATGCCTAGGCTGTTCAGAAAGATCAGCCACTAACAGGTGAGTGACCATAGTTTTTCATTCACATTTCTTAGGGAATATGTTTCCTAAAACAAAACAAAACAAAAACAGAAAATAAATTCTGCTAATTCACATTTGTGTCTAAATCTTATTTGCTTTCTAGTGGAAGCATGAAAACAGTTCCTAATACTTAGGGGTAAACATTTTGCACTTTTGTCTCTATTTATTTAAAAATTAGAGACTCAGTCCAACCATTTTAGTTATAGATGAGAAGGATGACAGGAAGTGATCCAGATAAGGCCCCGCAGGTAGCTGATGGCAGAAGCAGGACGAAGGTTTAACTTCTCTAACTTCTATCCTGAGCTGTGCGATCTCTAAATATATACTGTGGAACGGATACTGACACTGAACAAAAGCTCTCTGCTGGGCCAGTATGTTAACCACAGAAGTCGGAGGCAGCTAGTGAGTATATGAGGTCCAATCCTTCCCTAACATCCGCTAAATAGATATGGAATAAGAACAGATAATTTGCTGTTAACATTTATATACAGGAGGTTTTAAAGATAGAAAGGGAACAGAGCTTTTTTAAAGGAAAAATTATTTTGTAGAACATTTATCCTTTAGCACAATTATATAAGAAAGGTAATATGATTAGGATAAAGAGCTTCCTTTACTTTTGAGTAAAGAATATGCTCATTAAAATCATCTCCTCTTAAAGAACAATGAACTTGCCAGTTTGCTCTATACAAAGTGCATAGACAAATGATTTAATTCAACTTTAATTATAACAAGAATTTAAAAAACCCTCACAACTCTATTTTTGATAAATATTTAAATATGAAACATTTCAAACGTAACACAAATATAGGCTAATGCATAACTAAATTTGGATGAAGTCTTATGAACCAAGGAACATACATACTCCTTTTGTGTGTTGAGAGTGGCAGGATGAGACCCTGGGGTCTTGGATGGATGAGTGAGAGCGCTCTGAGTTTGTCTCTCGTGGACTGTTAGCTCAGAACAGACTGAGGTTGTGGCAGAGCAGTGTGGTGGGGGAGCAATACAGTCTATTCTGGTTTCTCTATAAACAGCCCAAAGTGAACTTTTCGGATGTGCTCCTTTCTAGCTTTTAGAAAGGGCTTTTATTGGCTGCCAGGAAGCAGAGAGCAGGGCTGCGGCAGAGTGATTATCTGGGAGCAGCCAGGCATAAGCTCAGCCGCTTTGGAAAATTGGGGAGGGGTAGAGAGAGACAGATTCTTCTTCCGTTTGTAGACTAGGGAAAAGGGTATTTAGTGACATTTTGCTGAATATAAAAGGAAGAATACAGGTTTGAAGGCTTGTAATTGTATGTTAAAACAATCACACTGATATTAAAAAACAACAACAAAAAGGGCATTGTAAACGCATTTTTATTTAAAATTAAGATTTCTGAAACAACTATACTAAGAGTGGTTATTATAGGTCTTTTGCTAAATAAGACAGCATTAAAAGAATTATGCCCACTTTAACTTTTGAGAAATTTCTTTTTAAAGCACCCTTAAACTTATATATTCAAAAGAAACTAACTAAAGAAAAACTGTTTTATCTCAGGAATAAGTGTGAGAGTGCAAAGGGACAACAGAGCCAATCTTTAACCACTGCCAGTGATGGAACACTAAATTCAAAGCCATTTTAGAGTTTCCTACATTGTTCACTTAAAGGAAAGCAAATGCAAAGTTATCAAAGAGTTGGTAAATTTATAGCCCTTGGAAAGCTATAACTTTTCTTAAAAATTATTTCTAAGTTTTAAATTTGTCACTCCAAAATGTAACACATCGTATTTACAAGTATTTCACTTTTTGAGAAAATTTGAGAAATGACTACAATTGTAGCACAACCAGAAAAACTGAAACTAGTTTTAAAAATCTCTGCAAATCTTTATGTTCTACATTTACTTTGGAACCAATCTCTAATGAAATAGAATAGAAACAATACATATGTATACTACACTGCGGAAGTAGCTTATACTGGCCAAGACATATTCAAAGCAAGTTCCTTTGTACTAATTTCCTTGAAGAATTTCTAGGTCATTTTTGCTTGTCACAAGGACAAAGGACCTACTGTAAAAATTGCTCTTAGGTGTTTGCTCTGTCTACTCAGGGCATGTTTTCAATAACCTCTGCACATCCCAGTCTCCCACAGGTAACAGCACTGTGACTGGGGACAGTCTTGCTGGTTCTCCCTCCCTGCCTCATCGCTTGTGTGACCGCTTTTCATATTTGTCCTGGCTGCTCCGCTTCCTCGGGGGAGAATGACTGACGGAGCCTCGAGCGCGGAAGCTGTGCTTGTAAGGGTGGGCTCTGTGCTTCTTCCGGCTTTCTTCTTTCTGGTTCTGGCTCTTTGCAGGTTCCTCATCGCCCTCTTTTTCTTCATGATCTTGCTCTTTCTGCGAGGGGAGCGTGTTCTTAATTGTGTTAATGAGAAATCTTTTATTGGTACCAGCAAGAGGACACTTCATCCTGGAGGTGAGGGAAAAAGAAAACAATCACAAATCAAATAGCCGATTTCAGAGCTGAGAACACAAGCATGGCTACTGCCAAAGAGTTCCCCATCAACAGAGCCAAGTTTCTGAACCTGTTCAGCTTTCCTTGCGTGCCACCTAGTGTAAACTCTGAGTACAAAGGGGGAAAGCAAGATGCTTGGAATTCCTGAGACCTGGACCTCATCTGAACACTTTTACCCTTTCTTCCTCACTCGGACTAACTTTTCTACTTCTATGTGTGTGTTCAACAGGTACTGACTGCAATGCAAATGAACTGAATCATTTAATATTTTCTCCTTAAACAATAAACGACTGATCTGACTATTATCTGCATTTTGAGTGAAATACTACAGTGTGGCTTGCTTTTAATTACCAGAGTAAAAATGAGTCCCGCATCAAGGGGAAAGAAGTATACCTTGCTAAATCATGAATACTGGAGCTAAATGACCTATCTACTATAGAAATTAAAATTGTCAACAACAACAAAAAAGAAATCCATAGAACTAAAAGGTCCTGGGCTCGATTTCAAACAAGGACACATGCCTAGGTTTCGAGCTAGATCCCCCGTAGGGGGCATGCAGGAGGCAGCCAATCAATGATTCTCTCTCATCACAGATGTTTGTATCTCTCTCTCCCTCTCCATTCTTTTCTGAAATCAATAAAAATACACTATGAAAAATCTAAAAAAAAAAAAAAAACCATAAAAATAATCAGTGTCACCCCAATAAATTCAATAAAAAAGAATCATAAACATACAGTAATCACCTTTTACCTTTTAAAAACCTCTTCCACTTTCTATTTCAAGACTGCTGCCTTTACTCTGTTGGGGAGCATTGTGCACACACCCACCCTCTGGCTGTGTTTTCTGTGCAGTGTATGTCTGAGTAGCTTCATGATTCAATGTTATCCAGGAGGGAGAATATAACTAATTAACTGCTAATCAACATGCTGAGTCACACTTATATACCACAATATTTATTTTTCAGGTGTAGCAAATCTATCATTTTGGAAAAGAAAACCCCATACAAATGAAAACCTGCATATTTCACCTGGCCTTGAGTGGTTTGCCAGATGATGAGCTAATTTTAGGTGGCTACTGATCCCTAATATTGGGCTGATTGGCATTAAAATGAATGTAGGATTCTATAATCTTCATCTCTATATCAAACTTCAATTCAAAGAAACTCTCACACAGTACTTCCAAATCACTCCACCAGCACCCCACTGTAGTGATTTTGTAGCCTATGACTGTGTAAATGAAATATAAGCAGTCATCAGCCTAATATCATCTACAGGGAGTCAGATCACCTCAAGCAATCAGAAGGACATTGAACCTGGAAGTAAAAGGAGAAAAAAAAGTCTCCTGCTGCAAGCTTATATGCAGAAAAAACATCTGAGAAGAGTCAGCGATGGTGTATACACCCAATGTGCTGGGCGTGTAAGTGGCAGGGGAATGAACTAGCACAGAATGAGCTAGAAGAGAATGAGAGAGAAAAGGACAGTGGAATGCAGTAGAAGCAGTGGGGACATTTAGAGGTGACGGCACTGGAATTTTTGGGGGAGAGGTGTTTTTTAGCACTGGAGTTTAGAAGCCAAAGTGAATGAGAAGAGGAGCAAAGAGGAAAGGTGATAACTGAGAGCAAAGTACTGGGGGACAAAATGATTAGCTCTCTGTAACTCTGTAGCGCTCCACTGAGCTTTCAGAAGAAGCACACCAGCATCACTGCGGCCTCAGCAGGAACAAGGCAAAGCCATTTATACCTCCTGGAGGCGCCTCCGCATTGGGTACTCTACACAATAAGAGTGTGTGTGACGAGAGGGCAGATCAAGCTTATTTCAGTGGCTTCATAGGGTAACAGAGACAAAGTACTACTTTGGTGAAGAAACTTGAACCACTGTGATTGCCAACTCAGCAAAGGTTCAAAAGAGTATGGCACACTGGTGTCACAAAGCAGCACATCACTTCTAGACTTCAGGAAACACTATCCTTTAACGTGAACTATAAAACGCTACTGCCATATTGAAGGATTAGGAACTATCCAACTACAGAAGAATTTAGGGTGTTTTCATTGAAGTGGGCCATCTCAGTGTTGGTATATCTAGTCAGCTCTTCCATAGATTAAACAAGGAAAAATGATTATTGCTAAATGGGACAATAATCCAGGGTCTTAAAACAAAGCCTTTGTAACTCCTGGTGAGTTCTACTATATTTTGCTATTGCCCATGTGAGATTATCTTTAACACCTCCTGCTTAGCTGAGATGAACAGAGCTATTGTTCTGCTGGAGAACAGACGAGTTCACGGAGAGCAAGGGCTGTCAGAGGACATGTTCCCTGTCTCAACAGAGCGAATGAGAATAAGAAAAAAGAGCTACTCAGAGAATAAGGTAGTTTTCCAAAATATCCCACAAGAAAACTGGCATTTACATCTCTTTGTAACATCAAAGGTGGCATTCTTAATGTTGATTATGCCTAGCATTTGAATCAAGATGAAAAGTCAAGGGTGACTCAGAGAAAACTGATTTTCTTGAGAGCGGGAGTGGAGAGGTTCCGAAAGTGACTTCTCCCAAACATGCCAGGACACGTGTTAGAAATGATGACAAGTACTCATTCAAATTTTATTAACAAATAAGGCAGGTCAATGTCAAGGGGGTAATTGTAACTAGATGTGAAGTTACATGTGGTAAATGATCCTGTATAATTATAAAATATTCACTAAATATGTTAAAATATAAAGAGTAACATCAATGCTGATGTTTGAGGAAATCACATTGGCCTTAATATGGTAATTAATTTTGCTGAATTTTTACAGCCAGCGTTTTATAGCTGCGAACTCACACAGCACGGTATATTAGCTGAGCACACATGTGCTGAAATCATACCACCTATTAAACTAAATGTGAGACACATTATATAATCTTCCCATAGCCTCTTATCAGTTAAACTAGAGGCCTGGTACACGAAATTCATGCATGGGGGAAGGGTGTGTATGTGAGTCCCTCAGCCCAGCCTGCACCTTCTAAAATCTGGAACTCCTCGAGGGATGTCTGACTGGGATCGGGCCTAAACAGGTAGTTGGACATCCTTCTCACAATCTAGGACTGCTGGCTCCCAACCACTTGTCTGCCTGCCTGCCTGCCTGCCCCTAACTGCTTCTGCCTGCTATCCTGATCACCCCTTCACCACTCCCCTGCCAGCCTGATCAACAGCTAACTGCTCCCCTGCCAGCCTGGTTGCCCCTAACTGCCCTCCCTTGCCAGCTTGGTCGCCCCTAACTGCCCTGTCCTGCCAGCCTGGTCACCCCCAACTGCCCTCCCCTGCCGGCCTGGTCACCCCTAACTGCCCACCCCTGCAGGCCTGGTGCCCTCCAACTGCCCTCCTCTGTAAGCCTGGTTCTCCCCAACTGCCTTTCCCTGAAGGCCTGGTCCCCCCCAATGCCCTCCTCTGTTGGCCAGGTCACTCCTAACTGCCCTTCCTTGCAGGCCTGGTCCCTCCCAACTGCCCTCCCCTGGTGGCCATCTTGTGTCCAAATGGGGGCAGTCATCTTTGACCACATGGGGGTGGCCATCTTGTGTGTTGGAGTGTCGGTCAATTTGCATATTACTCTTTTAGAATGAGGATAACAATAGTAACTATCTTAAAGGGATGTATGGAGATCAAATGAGAATATGTCAAGTGCTTAGAATAATACCTCATTAATAACTAGCTCTTAGTAAATGTTAGCTTTGGTGCATATCCTACCTCTACTACTAAATTAGCTGTCTAAGCATGGACAAGTTACTTAACTTCTCTGTAAATCAGTTTTCCCTGTTTGTAAATGGGAGTCAGAAATATTTACCTTGTAAAGCTATTGTTAGGTTTTAATGAGATAATGCACAAAGTGCTTATTAGCACAGTGCCTGGCATACAGTATATCTTCAATACACTTTACCTCTGGATCTATAATTTCTTATTCACAATTCCAAAATTTAAAAACCTCTGAAAATCAAGTTGCTTTTATGATACCACAACTCATTTGGCAGCAAAATGACCTAAGCTCACATTGAAGTATTTATGTCTAATCTTTGGTCTATTTGGGGTAGGCACTCATACGTTTTGCTGAAGAAATGATGTGTTGAGCAAGTACCACTAGGGGTACCTTTAGTGAACACCAGAAGTGCTCCTACACCTTTCTAAAATGTGAAATTCACATCTAAATTTAGAAGATAATCTGGATCCAAGAGTTTTAAGCCAGGAATTAAAGACCTATATTATTATTATATCATTCTCTATTCATGAAAAAGTATATAGCACTCAAATAAATTAATATACCAAGGATTTTTTCCACAATGGTAACTCAAACAAACATCCCAGTTTCAAATTACCTGGAATAAATCAATCAATAACAGTAGAACATTTTATGTTTCTCAATAAGAAACATATCAAAAAAAGAAAAAAAAAACATCATCAAGAAAAACTTAATGGGATATTTAATAGGACTTTTCATAAAAACAGCTAAAATGAAAAAGTTTCAGTATTTCCAGGCTATCTCAATTCTCCATGGACATCAGGGTCAATGGAAATTGGGTATTACCTCTGAGCTTATAACTTGCATTTCCTAATGTTTTTTAAACTCTGTTCATAGATGAACTAAAGGTTAAAGTTAAATAGGTGGTCTCCACAGTCCCTTCCAGATTTAAGATTCTCTGCTCATATTCTTTATGTTCACCCTTCAGAAAATTACTCTGTTTTCATGCATCATGTCAGGATATTACTTCATTTCACTGATCTCTCTGCCTTCATGTTTCTCAGCTCTTTGTTAGAGTCATGTTTTTCTGTATTTGAGATGACATGACAAGCTCAATTGCTTTACAACCTTTTTCATACCAGCATTGAGGTAAAACCCTAAGCCCTGCAGTACGGGCATAGGTAGTGGCTGCTTGATGTGTCTGCTCTGTCTGTCGCTGGTGATGCCGAAGGTGTGCTTGGGTGGGGGATT